CGTGATTTATAAAATATTAGAAATTAAAGGAGGACATGCTAAACTTTTACAATAAATTGTGTTGTTATCGGACTAATTTTGGAAAATCGTTGCGAAATCCTTGCTAGGGAATAGCTTAGAAACGGGCCAAAATTTCAGACGATTTTAACTGATAACTGACTGCAGATACTTTATAAATCAGTTCAGAATCTTTGTTAATTGAGGCAACAGGTACCCGGCTAGCTCAGTCGGTAGAGCATAAGACTCTCAGGGTCGTGGGTTCTAGCCCCAGTGCGGCCGGGCGACGTTCCTTTTTGCTTAGAAGAAGAAAAGCAACAATAACAAGCAAGCAAAGACAGCAATCACCTGTACACTGTGAAACCTTTCTCTCTTCCGAGTCAAAGAAGACTGGTCTACATTTAAAGTCACTGAGACATGTTGCGTAGGGTAACATTATGCATTTGGCCACCATACATGGGTTGTACCCACAAACTGTCTGAGGGTCTATATCCACAATGGAGTCTTGGTCTGAAGAACAAAGTTTTTAAAGATCAAGTCCATTACATAAGATGAAGTTAATTCCTTTTATAACAAGAATTCTCCCTGGCTTAATTTTAGCCTGATTTCTCTTAAAAATTAGTAACAGAAACGTAACTATTCTCTTGATATAATTTACAACCATCTCAGGTAGAAATTGTAAATAAGGTCTTATAATTAAATCAGAAAAGTTTACCTCAATTTCTCCCTCCTTATGGAGGAAACCTCCTAGGGTGCAGACGTTTAAATTGCGTGTTTTGGAAACAGCTACGAAGTTAAATTTCAGGTGAAGTTATCGCGGCGTGCTGGTATAATTTTATCAGTTATTTCAATAAAATCTGTACTGCAAACCTCTTACCTTGTTATTAGCTTAGAAGTAAGAATAGATTAAACCAGCTATAAGCCGCAATATTCTTAGAATTTCCTGTAGAATCATCGAGAAGCATTCCCCTCGCTCTCTCGCGTCCCTTTTATAGGGAGTTATTCTCTGAGGCTATAGTGAAAAGTATGACGTAGGTATAGTTTAGCTCTTCCTCATGCATGGCCCAGAAATGTTCTCAAGCAGTGACAATATTACATACCCTGGCAGTGTCTACCGTAACACGGTTTTACTTGTTTCCTGGCTCCTCTACATCTTCTCCCACCGTTTGCCGGTTCTGGGTTGTTACAGTGGCGCCGTCTTTTCTTCATCCCTTGTCCGCACTTCTGAGAGCAGGACGACCAGGCGGACCAAGGCGAGTAACCACCATCAACTGTTTTCATCAGAAAATAAACGTGATCATTTCTCCTTACCTTCAGTTTTCTAAATGATGCCATTCCAGCAAAAATGTCTGGAATGCGGCTTACCTCTACACGCTTTGATCTTGCAAAGTTTAAGTTGAAAGCGCGGTCCCTCGCAGTTTTTCCCGCCATTTGCAGGTGCTGGGTTGGTGCAGTAACGTTCACGTGACCGTAGTGCAGTTCTTCCACAAGCATGGGGACATGAAGACCATGATGTCCACAATGTGAAATCGCCATCCACTAAAATTACACAGAAAACAACACACAGACACACAAAAAAACAGTCTCTGTAGTTAACTCTCCTAACGAAAAAATCTGCATTGCACATACTATCAGTCATATTAATAATCGCAAATTTTGACAAAAGGTCTAATGCCAATCACTAAAATACAATTTCCATTATTGAATGGGTTACCTCCGTTTCTATTATAAGTGTACTAATGAAAGCTAAAATAAAATTCTAGATTGAGCATGCCATTCTAATCTTACCTACCTGGGATGGTACCTTCACCTTCCTTGCTTTTCAGAAAGTCACTTATGTTAGCTAACGAGTCTGAAGAGGACTGGTTTTGATCACTTGGAACCAGGGCGTTGTCAGCAGTGGTCGGGTTAACCTTGTCTACGTCAGTCTCTTCATTAATAGAACCACCGACTTGAGGCTCCTGATTGGCTGGGTCCTGCAGGCGACTTAGTTCATTTATTTCCTCATTGTCATTGTCATCTAAAAAAACAACGGGAAAGGCAGCAAAAAGAACTTAATAAATTCAGAGCGAGCTTTAAAGTTAACTGAGTTAACAAGTAATAATAAAGTTCATTGAATAATGAGCCTACTGACGGATTGATCGACTAACTGCATGCCAGCCTGACTGACTGACTGACTGACTGACTGACTGAATTACTTGGGAATGATCAAGTGACTGACGAACTGGCCTGGCTAACTGGCTGACTGACTGACTGACTGACTGACTGACTGACTAACTTAACAGTATTACTGACTTGGGAATCACTGACTGACTTACTTGGGAATAGCTGACTGACTGACTGACTGACTGACTGACTGACTGACTGATTGACTGGCTGTCTGGCTAGCTGACTGATTGACTGACTTACTCGGATATGACCGACCGACAGACAGACTGACTGACTGACTGACAAGTAAACTTGCTAAGTTCACTAATTTGATTGATAGTCGGTTTTGGCAACTGTCAATGGTTCTCAATTTAAGAATTAATGCATTAATTCTTAAATCACTAAACTCCACTAAACTGACGTAAACTTTCAGAAGGCTCGCTGATTTCAAGGCGCATTTATTTATACTCTAGTATATTGGGATACAAAAGCCCCTTTTCGAGTTGCCTTAAGCCTCTCTATTAAAAGGAGGCCTGGTGCAGTTTAATCTGCATGTGAATGAACATCATTTTCATATGAAAGGATGGGCACCAAGACTCGCTTTAAGAAAGATGCAAATGGCCTATTACACTTTCACGTAAGACACCTACCCTTTACTTGCTGCCTTTTGACTAAGCCTTTCTCGTCAGGAAGAAGGGACTCTATAATGGCCTTAAAGTTTGGGCCATTTGCTACGATAAGAAGCGAAATATTAGCCACGCAAATTGAATACAGTAACTGCAAAGAACTGCTAATTTTAGTTCTCTCAAGCTTTATAGATTATCTACCAGCTTGTTGCCAGGTTGCCGCAGCAGTTTACCGGTAATTGTTTATACGCCTGGGTGGAGAGATGCACAGCACCGAAGGGAAGTGCCTTGCCCAAGAACACAACACAAACACCTTCTAGCGAGGGCTCAAATGGCACGGATTTAAGCAACACACTGGACTGCTTGATATCATACGCAGTTTTTACCAAAATCCGGTAGAGCTACTTGCTAAAGAGCATTTATTCTGGTTTTAATAAAGTAATGACGTTTTGCGTCCTAGCTTTTGAGTGAACACCAAGGGACTCAGCCTAAATAGATGTTCAGTAATAATAGAAACTCACTTTAAAATCTTTACTTAACAGGATCATGCTACAAATGGCGAATCACAGCATAGGCCACAACTTACCTCTGTGGGATAAAGATTTGTCTAACTCCGCCGACGCAATATTTATCAAGGAGACAAAGGAAATTACAACCATCATCAGGCTAGGAATAAACAAAAACGTCCCCGCTTTCTTCCTGTTCATTTTCAAAGGCTGTACAACTAAAAAACGGCATTCCCCATCTATTAAAACAACAAGAGAGTCAAAATGAAGCCCTCCCCAGGGCTAGGGCGTCTACAAAATGGAACTTATCTAAATCCAAGATAAAATAATTCGCTATATTTAACAGCATGAACAGGTAAGTGTCAGCATGGCGTTATTAACAACTACACAAAAATTGCTATTCCTGTTTGACAGCTTGATAAAAAGGTCGATGAAAACGATAACAAATTTAACGTTCCTTGCTCGCAGTTTGTCAACGGTTAGAAAAATATCGCTTCGCTTAATTTGCGAGCTTATTATTTTCAACCTTGAAGATGTACAGTGAATTGTTGTGGTGTACAAGTTACCTTATTAGGGTGGCACAACAGGTGTTGTCAAAACCATATTTCTCTATCCAATAAATGGCTTGTCAAATCCAAAACTTGTGTACTCAAAACATATCTTTTCACTTGCGGGAGAGCTCGACCAAAATTCCTGAGAGAAAGTTAGTCCGCCGTAGCAATGAGGAATTTCTTTGAACTGACATCACAATTCTTTGACCCGAATAGTTTGGTGAATTATGCAAAATCAAACTCATGATTGAACTTGTTCAGCCTGAGTTGGCACATGATTGTTCATGGTCGCCTGGTCAAGTGAGACTCTGGTCTTGCAACGCAGTTTTACTTCGTTACTTCGTTTCATCCTGTAAAGAGCGCCTGGCTTATTAGTGATAAATCATGTAAAAAAGCCTTTGTTGTCGATAATTCAGTTGGCTATGCTAGTTATTTGGTATGTTGGTGTTCCACAACTGATCCCGAAAGATTACCGAGGCATTTCAGAGCACAGGTCTCCTTTGCTGTTTATCAGTGCATATGAAATAAAGCCTGTATGGACTGGTGATATTGACCGGTGCCATGTGATTAGCATTAGTGACAATTTTCCGCTCTAATACCTTTAAATATCTACAATATTGGTTTGTATTTCAGTCATTTTCGAATAAGCTAGCATGAGTTGTTTTTTAATATCATTTCACTTGTTGAATAAGGAGATCTATCTTTGAGTGACGCGCCCATGACTGCACCTGATAATAGACCGGATATGCATGGGCATGCATCACGAAAACAATTCTCGGACCCTAAACGATCACCGTGATGCACATTGAAATTCAATGTAACAGGATAACTTTGAGACAATAATAGTTTACATGTTGTTAAATAAAGGAGTGATTTATTTGCCATTAATAGTTATTCTGAGCGAACTCAAAGGACTCTTGAGGATCTTGCACTCTATATAGGGGAGTTGTCGTGTGGATCTACGCATTTTCCCATCTATAGGCACACGTTGAAATTACAGATGTTAATTTTTTTTAGCTTCACATCAAAAGACATTATTTTGATCACAGTATGATCAATAGACAATTAGAGATTGAAGTAAGGCATTTCAGATTAGAAGACGGTTGAATGTGTTGTTTTAGTATATTTTGTTTTTTCAAACCAGACATATCTAACTTTGAAATTAAAAAAAAGATTGAGCTCTTTACTCTGCCTATTAAATTTCGAGATCTCATTTCACAGGTTCTCCTAAAACATACAATTTTACATCTTTTCACATGAGTTGAAGGGCACCACAAAACAAGCACAGGTTGTCGTCAATCACTTGAGTTAAGCGCAGTAGGGTAGGGTTGGTAATACAAGTGAAAGTGGAGTGAGGGTGGAGGGGAGGAGGGCATAGGAGCCCCTGACTACTGGTGAGGTCTGTCTCTCAATAGCTCTCCATACCCTTCTTGCGAGGTCAACCTCTTTTGATGCTGATACACAAAAATTACTGAGAGTGTTTGGTTGCTTGTTACCTCGTCTCTTCACCCGACTGGAATTACGAAAATTTTAATTATTTTCGTGGGTTCTGTCTTCTGACAATAAACTACACTAGTGTTGTGTCTTCCCCATTCATCACTACTTCCTCGCGAGCGGTCTGGACTCAAGGCCTCCGACAACAGTAGATCTTAAAATCTTCGCCCCATACCTCCGCTTGTTCCACGGTCTGTGCCTTTGTATTTGACTTGTGATTTTTTTTCAGAAGCACGCCCGCGAAAGTATTGTGTAACCTTAAGACCAGAATATTTCACTTTCAAACCAGGGCGACTATCTTTACAACGGGGATTATTCTCTCATAACAAAAATGGTCTCAATCTAGCTACTAAGTTAAACGGTAATTTCGTCTTCCTCTTCTTCTTCTTTCAATGCTTTTGCTTCCATTTCTACCTCCTTTACTTTTGACGCATGGATCTTAGGCTTTTTACAACAGTAAATCTTATAATCCTCGTCCCATGCCTCGGCTTGTTCCACGGTCTGTGGCATTTGACTTGTGATAGTTTCTGGTAACCAAAAAGCCATAAGACCAGCAGCCACACCCAGGACACCAAAAATCAGCAACGGGAAGGTTTTCCTTAGATTTGGAAGGTCAGCCTTAAAATCAACAATTCCCTCATAAGTGTCTGCGTAACTTTATATGATATGATGATATGATTATGTGAAACAATTTACTATATATTGTTGTTTTTTGGTCAAATCTGTAATAAATAGACTCAAGCCTAAAAGCGGAAGTTCCACTATACTTAACTTTTATACTGGACTTAATTTAAATCTGAATTTTACACTTTTTTGCGTTTTGCGGTCATATGCTTTCAAATCTGATGGAAGCCACATTGCGTCATAATGACACAACACAATCGGTAACTAGTAGAATTAATTACTGGGTCATCGTGCGTAAATTTGGTTGCCATAGCAGCGCAGCATAAGGGGGAAGGAGCATATGAAGAGGCTCCTTTAATTTACGTTTTTGACTATTGCCAACATCAGGTCAAATGAGCTGAGAGTGCACAAGAAATCACATCACGTACTCGTCAAACGACAGAGAACTCTTGCCGAGTCTAACGAAAATCTCATGAAGTCTTGGTCTGAGAACATCAGGTAATGCACGCCAAATTGAATCATTTGAACAATTGCCTAGATTACCGGAAACGTTATGTGCTAGCAATACTTGAACTGATTTACGCTGTCTGAAGTCACCAATTTCTCGAACTCGCAAGCTTTCACTTGGTATGAATCATATACATTTCAAATTTATGATAAAAAGATAACAATTACCAGTAAGACGATATAGGGCGCAATAATTCCACCAATCCGGGCGATCATTGAACACAATCCAACACCATTGGTCCTATATAGAAAATGTTAAAATCGTAGAACAACAAATTTAAACTAATTATTTCGGTTGACTTATGAGTAACGATGGGGATTTTCCTTTCCCGCTCTTGCTAATCTATCTCCCCGAACCCTTGCTCTAAAGAAACATTTCCCGGGCACCAAATATGGATTGGGCGTTCGTTGTCGTATGGAGTTCACAGCCTAGCAAACCTTCATCCTCAAGCTAACAGAACAAACCACTGAAACTGCTTACTTATCACGACTTAAACTGAATGCGATTTGGTTTCTACTTCTTTTCATCCCCTAGACCCAGCCAACTAGACCTTCAATATACAAAATGCCCCTTTTGTTGAAAACTAAGCGGTACACGACAATACGTCATACCTTATCACAGTTGGATACAGCTCCGCAGTGTAAATGTACACCGAATTAAAGGTGGAAATGATGAAGAACTTTGCAATCATCACAAAAATAATAACCGCAACTTGGTATTCTGAAAGATATACACACTGATTATATTATACTGCTGAGGTAATAACGAACGCGGCTATGAGGAATTTAGCTATAGCTACTAAATAGCATTGTGAAGCTAAATCAACATTAACTTCAAGCATTTTCAGTTAAATGTCTACGCTTGAATTGCTTATAAATGAGACAATGATGAAAAGAGATACAGTAATAGCCCACGTATAAGAACCTGAATTTTTCAATTTAGCCTAAGTAGGTTCTTATCATAAATGGCACTTAAAGCAAATTTAGGTTACCAAGGTTAAAATGGGTTCTTATATTTTCATATGAATTTCATCTGAATAGTTAATATTTTGAGATTCTCACAGAGTTGGAGATGGTCAGAAAGTTTTCTTTTGATACTGTAGTAGACTGAGTACGGTACTTGTAAATACTTGATGAATTATTTGAGTGGCAAACACAATAGACATACAACATGGTACTTAAGGTTGAAAGAAAGAAAAGTTATGTCAAGTTACTTTCAAATAGATGATGATCTTAATTTAGCAGTTTCTACCTATACACAGCAACCCCACTGATACGAACCTAACTTAAAATTTTAGCCTTAATTGGTTCTTATGTGGAGAGGGCTTAAAATGAAAATTTTAGCCTAACAGGTTCTTAAAACCAGGGTTCTTATACGTGGGCTATTAACGTATTGCAAAATTCCAGAACCATCAATTTTACTAAATGAGGAAGACACCACCGTCGTCTGAGTTCAGAGGCTGGGCGAGACACAACTTTCACAGTGCTCCTGTCCACCCAGCAAGAATATATATACCGGTGAACTGTTAGAGCAACCAGCTACAATGGAGGAAGGGGTGGATTAACGCCCTGGCTTGGTGATTTCCTTTGGCCTGAGTGCGTTGGTTCTACTCACTCCCCTGGAGGCTACAGCATTGAGTAACATAGCCATACCTTTACTACTTGGTACTGCCAATGCCAGAAGACAGGCCACTCCTGCGAATGTCATATATGATGAGTACGTCAAACGGCGACCAAACCTGAGTCAAGAACAACCATGCAAGATTGAAAATAAGAAATGTTTGATCATGCATGTCAACAGTATTGAGCTTAAGATATAAGAGTCCGGCTCATTGATTGACAAATTAAGGTAAGTTCTGCTATTATGGTGGACCAAAAAGATAACTGACAGTTTTCGTTTTATCCTCCGTCCGACTCTTTGGAAATAATTTGATACCATTCTACTGTAAAAAATGATTTGTTTGATCACTTTTCGTTTCAAAAGTCAACTCTTAAAAGGAACAACGTTGTAACCATTTCGTCGGTCAATCGCGAATGAAAATGACAAGTCGTCTTAGTTCACTAAATGCGGAGATGTTTTCTTCGAATAAATGTTGTTACAATGTTGACAACTTCATCGATTTTAGCCGTCTTTTCAGACCATGCAACACTGTCCATATCTCACCTTTGTAAGCAATAGCAGCATAGAGCAGTGGATGGAAAGTCAACCACAAGAAGTAGAAAGAAGTTGAGGTACATATTCCCAGCAAGGTTTCTGACGTTGTAGTTGAGTCCGTAAAAAACCAGGGCGTTCACACACCTAATAAAGTACAGGGAAAATATTAAATGACAAAAGACAAATATTCAGTTCCAAAGAAAGTGACAACATCGCCAACTGAATAATTAGACGGTTTGTGCGGAGTTTGACTGTTAGCTAAGATCTGCAAAAATCATTGATAGTTGAGAAATCGTAGAAACTTTCACAGAAAAAGAACTGAATACACGACCACTCCCTCTGACAAGGAAAATTGTGAAATTTTGAAGTGCATTAAGGGTCTAGCCTCGCTTTTTTATGGCGTAAGCGTCAAATCGTGCGAGAGATATGAGGTAGTCGCGTAATCATTCGGCGTTTGTTGAAGCGATGAAATAAGGCATTAAGTGTCTTTCTGTTTGGAAAAGCAGGTAGCTAAGAGATGAGAGACTAAATCAAACTCATACAGGGAACAAGTGGTCGCAATATCAAGTTTCGTATTGGATTTTCCTAATTTAATAGTTATTACCAGTTGAAGAACATTATCAAGGTTCGTTTTCGTAACTTGGGTGTTTTCACTGTGTCAAGGATTCCATATTTTTCATCTTCCGTTTTTCTTTCGTCGTTCTTTCTCACTTCTTGAATCATGTGTTTCAGATGCTTGGAATCCACGGTCACGTGATTGTTTGTGGCGTATTTCATTAACACCACGTGAGCCTCCTCCAGGTAATTATTAGCGATTAGCCATCGCGGAGAGCGTGGAATCCACCTGGAAAATAACCAGTAAAAACAAATCATCACTATAGCTTGGATAATTAACTACAACGCCCTTGATTGCGCGTTACAACGACCGCGTCGGTGTTTGCATGAAGCTCACTATGGCTTGTAATGTTTGTGGCATTCATTTAGGAGTGTTTGCGCGGTCTTGGACAGCCGATAGAAGATATAGGCCTATAGGCGATTGGATCTAGCAGAGACCTGATGAAGAGAAAATCATGAGTTCTGTCACCTCACAACAAATTAACGGTATTATTCACGTTCTCCTTCGCTGTCGATCGGAAGAGCTGCAAGCTGCAAGAGTTATTCAACAAATAAAGAAGCCTAAGCCGTGTATTACACTGTGATAAAACACGACGGGCATTTGAGAACACAAGGGAAATGTAGAAAACACGAGCCTCGTGTTCTCAAATGTCCTGAGTTGCATGAGGATGTGAATTTAGAGCCACAGCCCGGTTTAAAAGTCCTGAATTTCTATGGCAGGGGGAAAAAGGTAGAAAACGCTGAAAACACGACCCATGAAAGCTTGAAGAAAAAAAATCTCGGTGCAAACTGCATTGAAACAGTAGAACATAGAAGTAACTATCCTCATCACTTACCACCAGGCGACCAGTGGAACAAAACCTGGTAACGATACGGCCAGCATGAGATAACGCCAGTTGGGAATCAAGTAGGCGAGTAAGGCGAGAAAACATCCGCCAATAGTGAGAAACAACATGTTGATCATACCAATGTACGAACGATGTGCAGTGACAACCATCTCTATACAGTAAACAAACCGCACCAATAAACAGCCAATGGTCCCAGCGCCGGCAAAGAAACGAAACAAAGAGAACAGCGACAGGCAGTCAGAAACAGCAGATGCCACGCCGAAGGTAGCCTTTTCATTGGAAAAAAATAAATAAATAAGAGGATGAATGAAGACGGGAAACTGTAATTTATATGTTCATTTATCTGTTTTTTTTTTTGTTTTGTTTTGTTTTTTTTTAAAATTAAGCTAATTTTGTTCTTATTTGTTCCGATTTGCTCTGACCAACGGCTAGCGTTGGAAATGTCCGCTTCTTGAGCTCGGCGGGACGGTACATTTACCACACGGGTTGCCAGAGAAGAGTGGATAGGGGAAATTACTAAACTACCACTTTGTTGCTAAAGAAAAGAACTTCCTAACTATTGTATCTTCGATCTATTTACCTTGCGGCTTCTAAACACGAGCTGTTTGGCGAAATTTGTTCCATTGAAGTGGAACCAAGATATTGGTATTCTAAACAAAGAAGCACTAGTCTCTTGAAAGCTGATCATCTGACCATGACATCATCTTAGAACCTTGTTTCCAGGGTTTCTCTCCTTTTCACCCTGGGAACGAGGTTCGTCTTCATGTTGATAACAGAAGAAAATAATCAGTACTTACAAGGAATCCAATGCTGGTAAAGAACGAGATCTTTCTTCCAAAATGGTCTGAAATGCTGCCAAACGCAACTGCACCGACCAACAGACCCGCCATGTAAACAGCTTGAGTCATGGCCTTGAGATGTCCGCGGTCACAAATTAGACCCCACTGAAAAAAATAACATACCATCCCTCAGAAATCAGAAATAGGAGAGGAATATCCCCTCCCCTACCCACCCTCCGTAACTTCAAGAATAAGTGAGCAATGATACGAAACTTGGAGGGTATATAGCATGTGGAAAAACGTTTCTCTTAAGGTAAGCAAATGCAAAAACAATAAAACAAAAAAAACATCAGACCACCATAAATGACTCGAAACCAGTTAGAGTATCACATCATAAAAATGCACAAATAACTAGCTGAAAGTTAAATTTTGGTTACTAAAGAAAGGGAAATTTCAAATTTGGATAAACGTTGAATGTTAATGCTATTAATATGAATCTAGACGTGACAACCACACGTTAGTTTCACAGCTGAGTTCAGGCAAAAATAACAGAGTAATTTTAGTCTTCGGAGCAACTTTATAGCACGAAAGTCATAAGACTATAGCAAGCCGATGAAATTCCACCACGTACAGTAGAGTAAAATAACTGTAGCATTGCTTCATACCTAGTATGTAACCTAGCACTAGGATCTAGCTCACATCAGTATCATTCTAGCAATACAGCCCTAGCTATCTACTATTCGCGTTTTCAAATTATCAGCATTAGCTTTCCCACCCACCCACCACGGCAGTTATGACTTTTTCGTTGTACCCTATGTGTTTATAATTTCGTTGTAATTGATGTAGCATTTATAATTATCTTGCACTCGATGGGCCTCTAGTTTTATCGTAGTTTATTTCGAAGATTGTAATTTCAGGTTGTTCGTATGTGTAGGAGTAACATAAACTGCCTGATCCCAAACACGTGGTTCGAGAGTGAGTTTCTGTGTTTAGATGCCTGT